AAAAAAAATATATTACTATATAATTTAGACTGGTATGTGTTACTTATGACTTACTGTGTTATATTATATTAGTTTTATAACTTATATCATATAACTACTTGAAATATAAATATATTAGTTCATAAATAATTTTATTTTTCTAAATAATATTAAAAATAATTTTATTATTGTTATAAAGATCAATATAAATTATTTTTTTATACATACAATATGGATGTTAAATCGAAACTCATCAAAAGACGATTAATTTGATATACTACATATGTAAAACTGATAAAAAATACAAAAGTTATTAACTTTTAAAATATATATATACAATTCAATAGTTATAATAATGAATGATATTAACATGCAATTAAAACATGTAACATAATCATAAATAATCAACATATTTATGGTAATCCGAACATAATTATTTTTGGTTTGGAATTAAATTAAAATTTACCCAAGCCTAATAACGAAGCATGTAATTTTGCCACATAGGATTTCGAAGCACTAGAAGCAGTCACGTAGGCTCAGCGCGTTCTGGATTAATATATAGAGGGGATTTGGTACAAGAAAGTGAGGCAAGCCTACGCAGCAAACTCTTTAAGAACTTTACGAGGATAGGACAAGCCAATCATATCATATCATGATGTAAGAGCTTTCAAATAGCTGTAAATAATAAACAAAAACACTATTACATTTTATTATAACTAATCTTGCACGACTTCTCATTAGAGTGAGCGGTTTTGTTATGAAGCTAATAGATTATGAAATCAACAATTGGTTTTATACTGGAGCCAATATTCTATATACAACAAGTAAACCTACTATATTAATAAATTATATTAGTGTTATTTAAGTAATCAGTGAATATGGTATGTTTACTTGTTGTATATAGAATGTTAACTCTACTATTGAGCCAACGGTTGACTTCATAGCAAAACCGGTGGAGTGAGATCCAATTTAAATAGGAATATTTTTTTTAATATATTATAGACTTTTTAAACTTATTTGTAAATTGATTTTAAAATCTTCTCACATATTAATTCAAAACATGTCGAGTAAGCGACAAATATGTACGCTACGAACGCTGACATGACAAACTTTTATGCTTCATAATTTAGTTTGTATATACATTATTGCTTTGTAATTATGTTTGATATTTGACATAAATAAATTATTATAATTTTGTAAAGTATACACTTGTTTTGTCTCATTTACAAGATTTATACATACTATTAATTTTTTTTTTTTTTTTATGAAAATAATAACATATAATATACGAAGTAGTAGTGCAGAGTATCAGAAAATGCTACAGTTCCGTTACGGAACAATTTTGTCGAGGGTTTGTAACCATTAAATCATCGTGTAACCGTCGGAGATAATTAATCTAACGATTACAAACCCGACCAAATAATTCCGGGACTTTAGTACCTCCCCAAATTAACATGTAAAGTTGGAAACTCAGTTTTAGAACAAATTAGGGAAAGCGCATAATAAAGCCCACCGAAAATAACACACCACACAATTCAAGTTTCACCTCCCAACGCAGGGGCTTGACAAATATGTAAGCATGAATTCCTCTTAGCATAAGTTTTCATGGCACTAATTACCAGTGTAAGGAGACTCCATCGCCTATATTTACGCTTCCCTCACTTCTCTCCATCCCACATTTTCATCTCATCAACCCCTCTGCCTTCCCCTGCAACTCATTTATCTCGAGCATTTCACCGAACACCTCACAGACCAGTTGAGCACGGGCCTCATTTCGAGTATTCTTACCAAATTGTCGACTTTTCTAAACAATTGGACGAAATCAAACAAGAAACTCAGTTGGGACTCCGAGGAATTCTCGAAAGAGCTGAAAAAGCCAAGGATTTTGCTTCCGGTGATGAAGCCATAGCCTTTCTTGACGGCTCCGGTGTCCAGCCCGATAATGATTTAATATTTTCAGCTATTTGGGCTTTGAGGGACGATTGGAAGTTGGCGTTCTTGGCGTTCAAATGGGGCGAGAAATGGGGTTGTGTGGTCCACAAGACTTGGTGTTTGATGGTGTGGTTGCTGGGCAACCATCAAAAGTTCGGCACGGCCTGGACTCTGATTCACGAGCTTCATCGTGATTCCAAGGATACCAAACAGGCGATGCTCATTATGATCGACCGGTGAGAATCGAAAACACGGCTTTCGAGTTCCTTGAATTTTCTTTTACTACATTGGATTCAATTTCTATATCCGTAGTTGGAAGTACAGAGGGTTAATTTGTTCCGAATTTCGCAAATTGAACTTGTTTGTGAGGGATGATTGTTGTGTCATCACCTTGGCTTCTGTTAATTTTTTTTTGTTATTTCAAGAGAAAATAAATAAACCACAAACTGTAGGTTTTGGAATTCATAGCAGTAAATGTGCCTGCAATTATCGACTAATAGTTTGGCCCCACTAAGTTGAGATGTACGAACCTATTCGGAATGTCGATTGCTTGTTTGGAAACTTTTCTTCTGCCAATATAGAAATTCTATTACTTTCATAGAATCCTCAGATAGCTGAAGAAATCAATAGGGCTTACGATTTACATTGTACTTGTATATCAATTGCCAACCGAACCTTGGGATGAGCACACGAACGGTGAAAATTTTTATCTTTTTTTCTTCAATGGAACAACGATGAACACCTTCCAATGTACAAAAATATTTCCCATGGTTTCTGACTGAACCTTGTGACTTCTGTACTGTACCTTGGGACTGATGGATCATATTTCTTCTTAGAAAACAACCAACGTACTATGAATTGGATATTAATATTTGTTTGCATTGAACCTCCGTGTTGAAGTTCACGTTCTGAAAATATATTGGTTTTGCATTGTCTCTTTTGGCAACTCAATAGATATGCTGCTGCAAATTACCCAGACAAGGCCGTGGAGACATTCCATTTGATGCAGAAGTTCAAGTTTACGCCCGAACAAGACACGTACCTCACGTTCTTGAATATCCTTTGCAAGCATGGAAACATTGAGGAGGCCGAACAGTTCATGTACCTCAACAAGAAGTTCTTCCCATTGGACTCAAAGGGCTTTAATGTAATTCTCGATGGCTGGTGCAACACAGCAAGAGACATAGGAGAAGCCAAGAGGGTCTGGCGTGAAATGTCCAAATGCTGTGTCATGCCTGATGCTACTTCCTACACCCACATGATCTCGTGCTACTCAAGTACAGGCAATCTATTCGACTCTTTAAGATTATACGATGAGATGAAGAAAAGGGGGTGGATCCCAGGTGTCCATGTCTACCATTCATTGATTTATGTGCTGGCCCGTGAAAATTGCCTAAACAAAGCTCTTAAGATAGTAGATAGGATGAAAGAGGCCAGTTTTAAGCCAAACTCGACCACTTATAACCTCGTAATACGTGCCCTTTGCGAATCATTAAAATTTGAGGATGCAAGAAATGTGCTAGCTCGAATGATAGCAGAAGACCTCAGCCCAACAGTTGAGACCTATCATGCGCTGTTGAAGGGCGAGAGCTTAGAAGGGACTCTGGGCGTGCTCAGCTACATGAGGAAAGCCGGTTTGGGCCCCAGCAAGGATACGTTTCTTATTGTTCTCGATAAGTTCTCAAAAGAGGGCCAGCCCGAAAATGCGCTGAGGATATGGTCGGAAATGAATAAGGAGTACGACGTGAAGCCTGAGTGCGCGCATTACCGGGTTTTGGTAGAAGGGTTGACGAAAAACGGGTTGCTTGAGAAAGCCCAAGAAATTTACACTGAGATGAGATGCGTTTCACCATTCAATGATCCATCGCTAAAGAAGCTTCTAGATGAACACGTCCAACAGAAAGTGTGTGGGGGAAAAGGTAAACGGGAAATGACAGTTGTGAGGAATATAAAGAAGGGCAAAGGTTTACGTTGTAGTAGATATCGAATAAATAGTGGGGTAAGGAGTGGAAAAAGGCCACGAGCTGCGAGAAAAAAAGTGGGGAATACTGGAAGAGAGAAAGAAACTAATTCTGGAAAAAGGCCATTCTCTTGAAAGTGCTCCGATTCTTTTGTTTAACTTGAGAAGAGTTCAGATAAACTGACAAGAGTCCTGAGTTGGTGGTCATTCACTTATGGAGTTTATGGTTAACATTTGCAGAGCACAGCATTACTGTTTTCCCATTTTCAAGCATCCATAGGCTCCACCACATTTTCTGACAGAAGAGTAGGATGGGAATGTCAATTGTATTAACAATGAGAAATGCTATTTTGACATCAAATTTTTGACATAATTGGTATTACAAATGATACATGAGTTTTAATGATTGTTTGATATTGCATGCAAGTGGTGTAGAAAACAACATAATCTTGTCACATATGTTGCATTACAGTCGAGCTGTTGTCATGCACAACTAGAGGTTAGATAGTCATATATTTTCAACAGACTAGGAAGATGCATGTGCCACGTACGTGATGTTTATTATTATTTTTTGGTATGAAATTATATTCATTATTGGATTATACTTATAGTATTTTCAGTTAGTTCTCCATTATTTTTAACTATGATATAGCCATAACTCGGTTGAACTGGATCGCCACTACGTAAACAGGTCGACCGAATGAAAAGTGGGCTAGGTCGATCTATGGAGAACATATGTATACAGGGAAGCCGGAATGAGATGACTAAAGACACATTGGACGACCTAATATAACGACCTATAAGTCGAAAGGGAACTGAGTAAGGGAACTGATTTTTCACAACGTTGAGATTACTTTATTGCTATTAACTGTAATTCACACATCCATCCAACCGTATAGGTTTGGGAATACAATAGATTATAAAGGCCTGCAGGTACCAACAACATATTACATAATACAAACTATATTAGATATTGCATGCAAATATTATTAATTAGGTTGTGCAGTTGAACATTGCGAGAGCCGGTTGGATGAGATTCTTCTCGATACGAAGTTGGGCTTCTTGCGTTAAGTGCAAACCATCCCAAAATATGTAATTGTTTGGGTCCGGGCAAACGGGCACGCCTGGGCTCCCACAAAACGTATTACTGTTGTAATTGTATCTCCCCCCAATTCCACAGCAAGCTTTAAGTGTGTTGTTTCTGTTTGGCCCTGCATGTTACCAACAAATATAATATAAGACAATAGTTTTTACTTTTTAGCTTCCAAGGTAAAATGAAAAATATATATATATATATATGCACAGAGAAAACTTGCCTGCCGATGTCTGGTTAATATATTGTAGCACGCCTAGGCCATAATCGGCGTAAGTCACCTGAGGAAACTGGCTGGTAATACTTGCGAGCGCTTGTTGGAGAATGTTGTTTTTAAAGGTAATGAGATCATTAACGCTTTTAAGACAACCGAATTGATCGTAAGCATTGGGATCATTGCTCGGGAATTGAGTTAGTATGTAGGGAAAGCACCCGATCGGAGAACTTCCAGGAACTATTATTCGCCTGGCGCCCATTCCGGTAAGCTCCTGCAGCATCCATATATATCATTTCAAATACACTTCTCCATCCTTGTTCTGAAAAATTACATCATTATTTATATTTATATCATAATTATTTTTTTAATTTATGTATGATGAATTTATATGTAGATGTCTTTTTGAATCGATATATAATTTTATTAACTTAAAAACTGGTATTAAAGATCATTTAATTTTATAATAAAGAAAAATAAAATTATTTATTTGATATGCCATATAACCAAATCTAATAACAAATGCAAAAGTTATTAACTTTTGAAAAATATTTATGATTGACGTAATTTTAAAAACCCTATGCATTGAATACAGATTATGTACATGGACTACTCTGAATTATACTCCGTATTTAAGTAATACTATAATGAATTTAATAAATAAGTTTATTTAATTAATAAGTAATTTTATTGATTTTCAGTTAATATTGATATATAATTTTATTTTTCTTATAAAAGTAAATATAAAGATTTATTTGTATGTGCAATATGGATATCAAATATGGATATCAAAACGAAGTTCGTACAATTAATTTGATTTATTTATTTTACGTAAGAATCTAATAATACACACGAAAATTAATAATTTTTAAAATATATTTGTAGTTTGAGATCGTGATATTTCGCATCAATATATTGAAGGAGACTTTATTCATCTTCTATAAATATATATACAAGAATAATGTGAAACTATATAATGTTAGTTACTTACTCTTACGACATCTATTTGAGTCTGTATTATACGAGGCACGTAATTAGTCCGCACTTCGTTGATGGATTTTCCTTGAGTCAGTGCGTAGCCAACATCATTGGCTTCAATATCCCCCAACAGTATAAGAGAATTTGCTAGCCTATTTCTACAGTCTGATCATATTACAAATACAAATTAAATATCAGTTAGAAGCTACAATTTACATATATTTAGTTAGCAATTCAGAATTTAGGAAATTAACAAACGCGTATCGACGGATTTTTTGCTAACCTGCCGTTGATGCGCAAACCGATCTTAGATGTGTTTTGAACCAATTTAGTTGTCTATTAAGAGAAACAGCGTACGATGGGATGAGAATGCCTCTTAAGGCAAAGAAAATTCTGTCGAGCACTGGACTTCTTGCTACTGAAAATATGACTCCGTTGCTAGTGCTCGAATTTGGGGCCAAATAAGGCACGATATTCGGAAAGCCAAAATCAGCAGCTGCATGCAAAATGAATTTAGAAGATCTAGTACTCATCACCGAAAAATTATTAATATAGATCATATCATTACAAAATTTATAAATTGTTATTCATTCATACAAAAACTAACTTATTCGTATGATTAATTCTAAAATGAAATACATTTTTACATGAACTGTAGAAACAATATTTTTAATTATATGTAGTGTTATGTCTTTTGTGTTTTGTGCTATTATTAGTCAATATTTACTTTTTTCGAAACACACCAACACTACATATATAATAACAATTGAGCAAATAATAACACTATATGACATTAAAGAGGGAAAAAAAAGGTTTTTTAGTACTTTATCTGTAGGCCGTTCTCAATTTGATCCTGTAAATGGACTGTTTTTGGAAATAGTCCCCTAATTGAAAAAAATTAGTTTTTTGGTCATCTGACCGCCTATATCAAGTCATTGTGACCGGCTGAGCTACGTGGAAATTCGCCCAATTTTTTTTTTTTTTTTTTTT